TTGTCCCACTATCAGATTGGTCATCGGAAGGTTCTTCCATTACTGCTTGGAACGGTTAGATCTGATGTGGGACTGTTGCTTGACTTGGGTAGAGGGGTGGGAGGTCTTTTTCCCTATCTCCTCCATCTCCTTTCTCTTCTCTTCCTTCTTCTCCTTATCCTTCTTTAGCTTATTCAGGGTCTCGGCCTCATCCTTGCCCAACCATTCCTCTCTCATGAAGGCAGTTGTGCTGAAGGTGATTCTGTCAACTTCGTCCTTGTGGCCCAACAGAGAGTAGGGAATCTCGCAGATCATCTCCCAAGGTTTCCATGTCAAACCCTCCCTCAGTTGGGCTTGCTGGTCGTATAGGACCAGGACTGGCCTCAAATCACGATAGTGTCCTTCCCCGTTGTCATCCTCCCAGAACATGTCCAAGCTGTCCTGTTCAATCACTTTCATAGCCAGGGGGCGATCATCTGAGATGTTTGCCCTTGCGAAGTTGGGACGCTTGTGAGAGTCTTGAGCTGTGATGATGCTCAATGAGTGTCTGACTGCAATCTGCCATTCATTTTTGTCTGTGTTGTAACGGAAGGGCAAGAATGGGACCGTGGGGGAGAGGGTACGTGCATTGAGTGTGGCTGCCACTGCCAGATCCTGGGGGTTTTGATCTGCAATTTTGTTGAAGGAGTGAGAATTTGCTCCTAACTCCAGGTTTTGTTCCTGCAAATAACTTGTTTGCCTCTCAAGGATGGTGATGTCTTTTTTTTCCCTTCTTCGGGTTGTTCTTTTGCTTGAGCAGATTGTTTGTCAGCGAGATCATTTTCGTTTCCTCTGTATCTTGGTCCTCGTTATTGCTGATTTTGATGGCTCGTCCTTGCTTTGGCCCCAATTGATTGTGTCTTCGCGCAGGTATGAGTTGGGCCACTCGATCGGATGCTCACTTGTTCGTGGGATTGTGTGTGGGGCTCTTGAGGTGGCGTCTGTGTCCATTGCGTCCTTGTGCTGATCAGCGTACTGTAGGGCTAGAAATTCAGAGAAAATGTTCTCTGTTGGCAGCACGTCGTAGCCGTTAGGGGAACTTGGGAATCCTCCTGTGGCATTTGCATTTGACTCTTTCTTCAGGATGCTGATGTGCCTGGCGTGTACCAGCCTGATTTCCAAGTCTAGGTCTCTGCGTGCCTTCAGCGATTCAATGTATTCGTCCAACCATTCCAGGGAACTATTTGAGTTCTCTTCTGAAATTGTGGTCTGGCTGGTATCTGTTGTTTTCGTTGGTGGTGCTATGTCCAGGTGCATTTCATTTTCCCTGCTTTCAGTTGCTGTGCTGTTGTCTCTGTGCTTCTTTGTGTCTGGAGATTTGCCTGTTTCTTTTGGATTGTAGTCTTCATTCCTGTTCTTTCTTTTCGTTGGACCCGATTTGCTCGTTTTGCCCCGGTCTGTGATCTTTGGTTCGAGTTCATATCTGGTCTGCAGGATTTTGAGGTAAGATTTTTCTGCCTCTCGTCCTATGTTATGCACATCGTTGAGAATCTGTTTTTTGTGCATTGTCTGTTCTAGGTGATCAGCGTTGCCCAGAGTGGCATTTTCGTATCTGTGTGTGGCTCTGTCATTCCTTTTGCTCCCCCCTTTTTGCCATCTGCTTCGGTGTGGGGGAAAGACATCTGGTTTAAATGCTGGTTCTGGGTCTGCTAGTGTCCATATCCATGCTGGGTTGTCTTTGAGATCATCGAAAACCCAGCCCGCGTAGGCTGGGTCGTTGATGATCCAAATGCCTTTCATTGCATCTGCCTCTACCAACATTGAGGGACGTAGCCTTTTGCCTTCTCCTTTTCTTGTGTTCAAGGGGCAGAGAGGGCCATTCCCCATGTGGCCCTTTATTCTGCATCTGAAGCACATGGGGTTCGCCTTCGTGGATATGTAGACTGTTGTGAAATTTTGGTCGGCTCTGAAGAACCATTTGTCAGGCAGTTCGGGTGGGTTGCTTCCTTTGAGTTCAGTTGGTGCTGGGGGCAAGAAAGCCTGGGGCTGAAGAGACCCATTCGATCAAAGGATATTGCGGATAGGTTTCTTTCAATCTATCTTCCACCAGCTGGTGTACTTCGTCGGATATGTTGTCAAACTGAATCCAGAAGTGTTTGTACATCAATGTCTGCCGATGTCTCAAGGTGCCTTGTGTTGCTGCCCTGTTGGGTCTCCATTTGGAGATGGAGACCACTGATCCTTCGCAGTAAAGAACCTGTATTGAAAGGAGGTAGGCTGCGTATTCTGTTTCTGCACCTAACACTGTGACTCCATTTTCCCCTCTCTGTTGTAATGCAATCTTGGGAACTGAGTCCCGCAGGTTCTCCATGTTTTGGAGGGTGTCGCGGACCCTTTTCCTTTTGTCTGTGGGCGACAGTTGTTTCAAGTTTGCTGGGAAAGAGTAAACTACTGCGTGCTTTTTGTAAAATTCATCCAACACGGGCAGGTGTTCCTTTGGGTATACCCAGACTTCAACTTCTGCTTCCTCGTCCTTACTGATTTTCACTACCTCCTTGGTGATCACTGGTTTGACTCGTGTTTCCTTTATCATGAGGTTGAGTACCTCTTGGCTTGGGTCCTGGTCGTTGGTGTTGCGTGACCGTTTGAAACCTGAAGTTGCACCTGTCGCTGGGCCAGGGGCTGAGGCCGTGACTGAGGCCATGACCGTTTGAAACCTGAAGTCGCCCCTGTCTCTGGGCCAGGGGTCAGGGGATTCATTCCATAGTTGAATTTGCCATATTCCTTTTTCAAGCCAGTGTCCCGTTTGCTTTGGTCAGAGAGATGCTTTCGGCTTTGTCATCCTTGATCCAGGGATTGCCAAAGATGGGTTGTTTGAGGACCATGTCCCTCCTTGGATCGAGTCTGTTGTTTGGGAAGATTTTTCTCCAGGTGTGTAGGAGTTGTTCTCAGAAGGATTTGTGGGTTCTTTTTCTGCGTCTTCTTCCAGGTTTGGCTGGAGGTTGTGAGACTTTTTCACTCTTGGAAGGGGCCACTGTCTATTAAAAATCCAGAAAAGACCTGACATGTTAGGCGGGGATTTATAAGGTGCCAATTCCTTGATGTGGTCGAGTGCTAAGGGTACCCACTGCAGATTACTCTGCAGAGTTAGTCTCAATATTCACTTAGTTTGCAAGGCCTGAATTTGACGTGCCGGATCTAAGAGCTCCAGCTCTCCTTTTCCCTTGTTTGTGCTGGCTATGTGCCATGCTCGGTTGTGGATGAAGTGCTGCTTGCCGGGGTTTCCGGTCCATAGATATGCAGCTTCCCTTTTCCTATTTTTTTGTTGGAAGTCCGTCGAGGGAAACGAAATCGAGGTAGCATACCACATCACGGCTAGTATCGAGCTGTTTAGGAGAGATGTGTCCAAGTCAGACTCATCAGTCTCCGATCTCTGCAAACACGTAGTCATGGGAAGCCCTGACCTAGCCACCTCGTTCCTCAGTCAGCGGTATGTGCGCCTCTTAGTCTTCCTCCCTTTTTTGATAAGTGGGGTCGGATTGCAGCCCTCAGGTGCTGAAGGGATGTGAGGGAACACTACACACAACCAGTTGTGCCTCCAATGGCTCTCCCTGCAAAGAATGTAGTCAGTGATCCGATCGTAGGTCGAGTCCTTCACCCCCCTCTCAGCCCCCTTCACCCCGTAGGTGACTAGCAATGTGTGCCTCGAGGTGAGGGACTCATTGGCACATATGATAAATGTCTAGTGTCCAGTGAAGCCATATCTGAACTCCTCAATACGCGTGGCCCACTTTGGGGCGGTAGTGCACTGACGAGCCAGCTTTATTTGCCTGCAACTGCCATCTAAGGGGTATAGACGGCCCTCCTGAGCGGCCCAGCCAAACAGCAGTCTCACAATGATAGAGGCCACACTTGAGTAAGTTTGGCCAATCAGCAACAGCACAAGGTAAGTTCCACCTTGGTGGGCCTGACTAGCGGCGACAATGAGGGCATTGAGGGGTAGGAACCCGCTTGAGGGACTAGACCAAACAGCAGTATGTGAAACAATGACTCTCCAAAGTTGGGCCAACCCTCAGCGGTCCAAAGAGAAAAGGGCCCGCCTGAGGGGCCAAGTCAAGGCAACAACCCAAATAACTGAGACCCCGTCTGTATGGGTCCGACCAGCAACAGCTGAAAATAAATGAGGGCCCGCCCGAATGGGCCCGGCTAGCAGTAACTCATGGAAAAGGCCCGCCTGAGTGGGCCTGGCTAGCAGCAACTCTTGGAAAAGGGCCCCCCAAGTGGGCCTGGGTAGCAGCACCTCGTGGAAAAAGGCCTGCCTGAGTGGGCCTGGCTACCAGCAACTCGTGGAAAAGGCCCGCCTGAGTGCGTGGGCCTGACTAGCAACAACTCGTGGACAGGCCTGCCTGAGTGTGCCTGGCTAGCAGCAATGACAATCCGGGCAGCAAGGGTCAAACCTCAGTTTACGGATGCAGCACGGACTGATCCGCAGATTACCAAGCCATCAGGGACTGAACTGTTTGTTCCCAAAGTAGCCAGGACTGAACTGCAAACCTGACCCTTGCAAGTCACTGGCCCAAGATCATAGCTAAGGGCTCAACCATACACCTGCGGGAGCGACACGCGATCTTGCCCTCTTAATTCGGTCAGGTGCAAGCAAGTTCAAGGCACTGTACTGGTTGTCCAGGACCGCAAGCGCGAGAGCGCAAGCTCTAAATCGGCAAACAAGCTGGCACTCTGCACCAAATCCGCGGGAGCAGAGGGAACGCAGCCCCGAACCAGCGAGCGAGTAAATGCGCGCAACCCTGGACCAGCGGGTGCACAAGCACACAACCCCGAATCTCCATCTCGCAGGGCACACATCTGTTTCCCTTGGGCATCAATGAAAATGTTGTGATTGTCTATGGATTGATAAGCACTTGTTGTAATTTTTACTCTGCCATCTTGTCTTCTATGTTGGAAATGCAGATTGACGATGTAGTTGTAGTACCATCTGTGATGATTCATCGTGTGCCATCTTGTCGTCTATGTTGGAAATGCAGATTGACTATCTTCATGTACATGTATCACCATCGGTGATTCATCGCGATATAAAGGCGGCAAACATTTTACTTGATGATAGGTTCCATGCCAAGCTGTCTGACTTTGGCCTCTCAAAACTCCTTGCAGAGGATGACGAATTCACTCACATTACCACAGATGTCCGGGGAACTGCTGGTATGCCTGTTCTTTCACCAAACTGCTTCCTCCCTTCCCCCCCCCTTTTCCTCCCACCTCGTCTCTCTCTCTCTCTCTCTCTCTCTCTCTCTCTCTCTCTCTCTCTCTCTCTCTCTCTCTCTCTCTCTCTCTCTCTCTCTCTCTCTCTCTCTCTCTCTCTCTCTCTCTCTCTCTCTCTCTCTCTCTCTCTCTCTCTCTCTCTCTCCAGTCCGCAAGCCATTCAGGCATGTGCCCTGGAGACCCGCGGCCAGTCTTTGGGCCACAGGGTTCGATTTGAGGCAGCATTCATTTATTTATTTGCTGCTCCATTTTTGTCTGTTTCAGGCGCCGTTTCGGACTTGCAGTGCGTCCGAACAGACTTACGGTCTGTTTGGACGAAGGCCACGTTTTGGGCCTTCTCCATTTGTGGCCAGGCCCTTTCGGGCCAGGTTCAGTTTCGTCCGGTAGCGGACACTCCCTGCCGCATCAGCAGAGAGGGCCTGCATGTCCGGTAGGGATCCAGGCAGGCCGTTTTCAGGCCAGGGCCAGGGGCACACCAGCCAGGCCCAGGGCTATAGATAGCTGGGCCAGGCCAGGGCACAGACACAGTTCGACACAGTTCGACACAGTTCGACACAGTTCGACACAGTTCGAGTAGCTCATTTCTTGGGCGACAAGCTGCAGCAGCGCGATACAGTGTTGCGTTAGAGGTAGAGGTGTAGGTAGAGAGAGAGGTGGTGGCCATACCTGCAGCGGCGGAGTGCTTACCTGAGCGCCATAGCTAGACTTCTCGCCAGCGACCAGCAGCACAGAGTGACACGCCGGCGGGTTAGTACATGGCAGCAGTTACCTGCAGGTGAGACAGCAAGGAGGACAACATCTTCTGCTTCTTCCAGTTTTCGCCCTCCATCTCTTCTTCTTCTTCTTCTTCTTCTTCTTCTTTCAGAGAGAGAGAGAGGTTACAGGTTATGTCGGGCTATGAGGCCCAGGATCTGATTAGACATTGTTGCGGTAGACACTGATTGGACATTCAGCAGGGAGACTATTTTTGGACTTCGCTATCGCGATCTTGGTCTTCTCCCTCGTCTCCATCTTCGTCTCGCCCCTCCTCCCTCACCTCATCCGTGGTATCTCCCCATGTGTGTATCCAAGGAGGGAGCTTTCCTTCTTTGTATGTGGTCCCTCCTCTCTCACATGTGTGGTGTGTGATGGGATGAGTCGCGTCARTATCTGACAGGTCAGGTCATATCTTTGAGTCTTCTGCTGCGCTACATTGTGCTATTTTTGTATGTATCTGGATGTACATTGTTGTTGATTATTCGCTGATGATGCATTGTCCATTCGCGTCCTTTTCATCACCTTGCAGATCCTTTGGCTCCATATACATCGCTTGATCGAGCATCTCTCTCTCTCTCTCTCTCTCTCTCTCTCTCTCTCTCTCTCTCTCTCTCTCTCTCTCT